TTTTGTAGAAAATAGTGAGTGGAAGTTTTAGTCTAGGTTTTCCGTCTTCCACCCCACCCATTTCAGACCATAGTAACCGATCTGCTGTAGATATAATTGATGTGTACAGCAGTCTTATTAGTCAGTTAAATCAATGGTTAAAAGAATTAAAGAAATGATACTGAAAGAAGAAAAAACGAAATAAAAAAGAAAAAAACACGATTGAATAGCAACATAGCAAATAAAAATAGAGCGCCATTAAAAAAAAAAGAAAAATTCGTGTTCGAAATACAGAAATAAATAGGACAGATCGTCTGTCTGACAATCGATTATCTTTGGAAAGCACTTATAGTCTGTTAGAGATTTTTCACTTGACCTATTTTGTACCAGAAGAAGAAATGTGAGTGTAACATTTTAGCAGCAAAGGGGCTGCGCTGAAAAGCTTTCGTGTACTTTTCAGAGAAAAGCTGTCATTTTTATATAAAAATATATTTTATGCATATTATAGTGAAAAGCGATTTCTCAAAAAAAAACAGTAAATTATTACACTATTTATTAATTCATATACCCAAAAAATTCTATATTTTGAGTTAATTAATAAATTAAATAGTGCATCGTGTTTCACATTTTAATCCCGCAGGGATTGCGCTAATAGCTTTTTCAAAATGGTCCCCTGCCCCGAAAAATCTCACGGGGAACCGTGGGTGCCCTCGTACCTCGTGCATCTCTGGTCCATATATATCATGTAGCCTTGCACATCTTTTATCATGAAAGTCGTTGTTATGGACTTGCCACAGTGCAGTAGTTTGTCGGCTTCGATAAATACAATGGAAGACAGTAGCTTATTTAATCGGAGTAACTTCCAATCTTGACTGAGCCGTAGAGAACGATATTAGATGATTGTCTGATAGTGATCGTGAGAATTGCTAGAAGACAACTGGCGGCCATGGGTAACCATATGGGAATATTTAGTTGGTTTAGCTGAACTGTAGTACGCAGCGTGCATTCGCCATAGAACAGAGCGATAAAGCCGATAGTGGCAAATTATATTGAAGTAGACGGTAGCATTAGCTGGGTAGTGATTCTGACTAGTCAGGTCTAGAGATGTACCGAGCCCGAGAGTCTCGGTTGGGCTCGGGCTCGGCCGAGCTCGGTCAGTCTCGTTCTCGTTCTGTCTCGATCTCAGTCAGGCTCGGTCTCGGTCTCGGTTGTCTCGGGCTCAATCAGGATAAGTTAGGTCCAACCATGGTTTTGGTTACTCTAGAATAAAGATCTAACAGCTCGCTAATACTTGCAATATGATCAACTGTTAAAACGATCTATTATATGAACTGATCGACCCGTTACTGATAAACTATCGTAGGGTGGATCTTATAACTTTTCAATGGCTATCTAGAGATAGTCCTCACAAGTTTTCATGGGCTATCCAAGGGTGGTCCTTATAACTTTCCAGAGGCTATCTAGGGGTGGTCCTTATAGCTGTTTTCGAGTTATCCAAAGATGGTTCCTACAACGTTATGATGACTACCCTTAGAGAGGCTCTGAAAAGTTGTAAGGATCGCCCCCAGATAGCCTCTGAAAAATTACAAGGGCCACCCTTGGATAGCCCATGAAAAGTTGTGAGGACTATCCCTAGATAGTCATTGAAAAGTTATAAGATCCACCCTAAGATCGTTTGTCAGTAACAGGTCGATCAGTTCATATAATAGATCGTTTTAACAGTTGATCATATTGCAAATATTAGCGAACTGTTAGATCTCTATTCTAGAGTAACCAAGACCATGGCTGGACCTGGCTTATCCTGATTGAGGTCGAGACAGACCGAGACCGAGACCGAGACAGAAAGAGAACGAGCCTGACCGAGACTGAGACAGAACGCGAACGAAACTGACCGAGCTCGCCCGAGAACGAGACTGACCGAGCTCGCCCGAGAACGAGACTGACCGAGCTCGCCCGAGAACGAGACTGACCGAGCTCGCCCGAGAACGAGACTGACCGAGCCCGAGACCGAGAGGCTCGGTCTCGGTACATCCCTAGTCCGGTCATTTTACATCACAGATTTTACTTTATTTTGAGGCGTGGTATAATATTTGTCATGTTAAAGAGAATCGTAGGTCTTGTTGATCTTTAACGACCTGTATTAACTGGCTGTATTATATTGGAATATACAAGTTGTTCAGTGGTAGGGTGAAGGTGAAGTCAGACAAGGAAGAAGAAAATCGATCTTCCTACACCTCAAAAGCGTACATTTTAACGCGCCAGAACATTTTCTTTTTCGAGAGACTAATATGGCCAAAGTTAATCCATTCAAACTCATTTTCACTTCAAAATTGTTTTTTTATCCGTCCTAGATGGGCTTTGAACGCATAAAAAATGTCGATGTTTTCGTCATTTACCTGCCTTTAAGGGCCCCCCCCCGGGTCAAAAATCTATTTTCTTCTCTGAGCACTCAATCTTGATGAAATTTTTACTGCACATGTGTCTGACCTTTGATAGTTTACAGTAAAAATGTGAGCCTAAAATATTGAGATTTGCGGGAGTTATCCTAACATTAAGGGTCAAAAACTAGGTCTCCGTGTGCCCCAGATTTTTTGCGCATTTTTCAAGATATGAACCTCGGGATGGTGTTAAAATGCACAGAAGACCTGTTGTTATCACCTGACAGAGCCGGTTTTTTGAAAAAAAAAAAAAGTTTTTTTTAAAAAGGGTTTTGAAAAAAATTGAGATTAACTTTTTAGAAAACTCGATTTTTTGTAAACAGTAAAATTGAAAACAAAAAATCCGGCTCTGTCACGTTGTAGTGCTGAGATTTAGCTTCATTTTAAAACCTTTCCGAGCCTTCTAGCATTTAAAATGGCAGAAAAATCTGGGGCACACTGACAGACAAAACACAAAAAAACAGTTTCGAGAAAAACGCAAAATAAATTTTTACTTTGGTTATCATCTTTTTTTCGTTAATAAAGGGGTGTAGAAATAAACTAAGAGCAGTTCGTCAGAGGTTATCGACCATGGTGAATCGAATGAGCATATACAAAGACTTGTACGACGTAGTTTTTTCCATATGTAAACGTTACTACTACCCAAAAACCTATCAAAAACCATTTTTTTATGTTTCATGCATGATGATCCAGATACAGGCAGACACAGGCTGGTTGTATTTTCTATTGTCTGACATTTGTAGAGAAGCTCAAATAACTTCCATAATTGAAATTTTCAAAAAAAAATTTTTTTTTATGTAGGGTGTCTCAGTAAAACCTCTGAAAACCCCTGAAAAACCCTCATAAAATCAATAAATCATAGTGCATTCGAAAGTAGAGATTCTGGGCTATCTAACTATGTATAAATCTCAAAATCGATATTTTTGACAAAAATTGCGATTTTTTGACCCGGGGGGGGCCCTTAAGGAATCGCGGAGCAGTATGTCAATGGAGTATAGGTCCCCATAAGCGCTAATGGGTGATAGTGGCCTATCTAAACGCGATAGTTTTCAAGTTTTGTTTGGCTTTAGCAGGCCACATTGAAGAATGATATCATATAGTGGATCAGAAGATTTGCTGAGATATAGTCAGAGTCTATGATTTACTGTATTATTGTGACTTTGATTAGCTATATTGCAAGGAAACAATTGATCGAATAGAAACTTTGATCTTTATCTGTAAAATTCTTGTCAATGATTGACGAAAGTTCACTGAACTGTCGTTATCTATTTGTTGAAAGCTTTGTGAAATTTCGACGATATTAGCGAAGGTTTCATGGATTTTAATCGATTGTCACTCGAGAGTATACATGTTGTTCATTCAGAAATCGTTAATCAATACCGTACTTGAGTCCGAATTAGCCAAAAACCATAGTCACTTGATTGATTTCATTGCGTATCATTGATCAACCATATCAAGTGCACTGCTGACATTGTTGATACGTAGTGAGCTGCTTTCATTGGCATCATTGTGCGCCAAAAACTTCGACGATTGCAAACAAACGACAGTAGCTATTGTATTGTGATGGTTCGGAGACTTTATTGATCCGAAAAGATGACATTAGCTCATGATAGGGCGGTAGACCGGATCCTTTGTTGAGTGAAAGGGAGTAGTTTAAATGATACGTTTTGCAGTTGTTGTCGTAAGCCTTATTGGACTAGTCTAAACAGATGGAATGGCTACTTGTTGACCCTTCTTGGGCGGCGCTCGTAATTATATTTGACTCGTAGAAATTGCAGGAGTTTGAATTTGGCAAAATCATATTTTCATGCTTAATGTAAAGATGTGTCTGTGATAGTCTATCGACGCATTAGTTTGAAAACGAAAGGAATGGAAATATTTCCTTGAAGGAAAGACAACTTGAGAAGATCTATGATCCGTTAAGGTTTTAAAAAAGTCCATAAGTTCTCTGAATTGTTGAAGTTTATTATTTTTCGTCATTAAAAATATATTTTCTGTAAAATGGTTTTTCATGTGTTGTGTTATTAAAGAATTGTCTCGATAAAAGAAAGAGTGATATGTCATACTAATTCAAAAGAAAAACAAGAGCGTTATAAGAAGGAAAAGAATGAATTTGAAATACATTCTGCATAGACTAATCATGTAAACAATACTTAGATCGTTGTGTTTTCTCTCAGCAATAAGTATTAGAGATTCAGTTAGCTACAACAAATAAAATATTCTCGTCAGTCATTGAACTCCTTATCGTGAGACAGTGATAGATCGATATTTATAATTTACCAAGTACAGTTTAATTTATCCGTGAAGATTGATAGATCATGAAGAAAAGATTTGAAGAACTCGATTGATTGTTTTTCTGTGAAAACAGAATCAAAATCTAATTGAGATTGAAAGGAATGATATTACTTCGATATTCAATTGTTGCAATGGAGATGAATTGATTGATGATTCTGGTAAAATTCTAAGTGATGCGAAAAGACTTGTAATGTTTTATTTCTCTATTAAATAAATGATAAAAGAGGATCAAAAGTTTCTCAAGATGAATATTTAAACTAATTTCTCATTCATCGAAATTGAAGATCGATGAATGAGAAACAAACAAAGTTAACAAAACTAAGACAAGAAACATTTAGTCTTTCACATTTGTATTTTGATAAAAATGATCGATTTGAGAGAAAACTCTTTTTAAATGTTATGTATTGAACATCTTCATCTTGAATATGTTCCTTTTTCTAATCTAATTCGAAATCTGTTTATATAAAATGATTGAAATTATAAACAGAATTTATTTAGAAAAGAATAAATTGTGTTAAATATTAAATAATTGGAAGATTCATTTGGAGAAATCAATCTTTTTCGAAAACACAGTTCAAAGATAAAAGACTGTTGATCGATAAATAAATTCAATTCTGATAAACTGAACTTGATTTTTTTTGTTTTTATCAAATGAAAAATCACTCAAACAATCAAAACATATTTTTAACAACTATCGTGATAATAATCAAAGAGAATGTCTATTTTTATCATCGGGATACCTCTACCTTTTCCTTTATCATTTTAATTTAACAAGAATTTAGTTTTGTAATTTAAAGTAAAAAGATTTCGAAGAAATTATCAAATAAGATTTGATTATTTATCATAAAACAAAAATTTTCATTCTAGCTCTTTCATTTAATCAACCAAAATTTTGTCCAAATGTAACTTGGAATCCAAATGCAACAACTTTTGCAAATCAAACCACAGTTGGGTCTCAACCTTATGGAATTTTTGTCAATACGAACAATTCGATCTATGTAGCTGATGAACAAAACAGTCGAATTCAAGTGTGGACCAACAATAGTATTAATCCAACATCCACAATTTATGGGACTTTATCATCACCATATTTTCTTTTCGTGACAACGAATGGTGATATTTATGTCGATAATGGCAACAACCATCGAGTTGATAAATTCACAGGAAACACAAACATCAGTGTCTCTGTTATGAATGTTAATGGATCATGCTGTGGTCTCTTTGTTGATATCAACGATACTTTATACTGTTCAGTGCGTGATTATCAACAAGTGATTAAAAAGTGGTTGAATGATAATACAAGTACATCGATCATTGCTGCTGGGACGGGTGTCGCGAGTTCTGCCTCAAACAACCTTAATAGTCCTCGGGAAGTCTTCGTTACTATCAACTTTGACCTGTATGTAGCAGATTGTGATAACGATCGAATTCAACTTTTTCACTCTGGTCAGTTAAATGGAACAACAGTAGCGGGAAATGGATCAACGAATTTCACCATTGCACTCTATCATCCAACTGGAATAGTCCTCGATGCTGATAATTATCTCTTTATTGTGGATAATCACAATCATCGTATTGTTGGATCAGGGCCAAATGGTTTTCAATGTTTAGTTGGATGTTCTCAAGTACTAGGTTCAGCATCCAATCAATTAAACTATCCGAATACTCTTAGTTTCGATAGTTATGGCAACATGTATGTCACTGATACCAGTAATAATCGAATCCAAAAATTTGCTTTATTAACAAATGGATGTGGTAAGTATAAAAGTATTTATTTTGAAATTTTGATTTTTAAGATAAAAAATCTTTTAGAAATGAAGAAAAAGTGAAATATTTTTGTAAGAGAATATAAAATGAATAATAATCGAAATCTGATTTTTTAATAATTACAAAAACTTATTTTCTGAGATTTATTAAACTATTTGAATATTTATTAGAAAAACATCTCTTCAATATTATTATGAACAACTGTTTATATCGACAGATAGTTTCATACTAACTTAACAAAACGATCATTTTTTCAACTTTAGTTTGACTTGAGAGACCTTGAGAGTGAAAGAATCTATTTTCTTTTCATAAATGTATTATTCTACATAGTTTTAGTTCTCATATAAGTTTGTTTTCATTAAAATAATCAAATAGAAATGCTTAGATTAATTAGTTGAATAAATAATTCTCAACGATGAAAGAATTGAGATATTTTGATTGAATTGACGTTATTTAATCTAATCCCGTTTTAGTTTTATTTAAAAAAAAGAAAAGTATTTTTGATTTTTAGTGAAATATCTTTTATTCGCAAGAAAATCTCGTCAATAGTTACGAATGATGAAAAATAATGAATGAAATTTTCAATCCATGTCTACATGTGAAACGTGAAGATTAATCTCTAAAAAATAAACATTAGAGTTAAAAAAGTATAGTAGTCTTTCGCTCATCAAGTTGCTTATTTTGATTATGTTATTTATAAGAGAAAAGTAATCATTTCATCATACATTGAGAGATGAAATAAAAGACAGTGGAAAAGAAAAATGAGATGACGAAGATAAATTCTAAGATTTCTTTTGGAAAACCAAAAATTCAACGAGTAGCACATAAAGAATGGAACAGTTTCATTTGCTTTTATTAAAGCCAAAACTACAGTTTGAAGATATCGTTCTAAGCTCATTCGATAGCGAATTTTTTAATGCGGTGCGAAGCACAGCATTTATGTAGTCCGACGCGAGTTTTTTTAATGCGGTGCGAAGCACAGCATTTATGTAGACCGACGCGAGTTTTTTTTCTTTTTTTTAACCTTCTCGACGTACGCATCGAAAATTCGTGTTTTGTGTCGCGATGATCTCGAGAACGGAAAGTCAGAAAATACTCATTCAAACGGGAGAATAAAGTTTCAGGATCGAATTTATACCATCCGTTTTCCGATCTTCAATGGAAGGTTTCATTCGTTTACAATTAATCCCACAAAAAGGCAAATTTCCAAGGACTTTGTCGTTTTTCGCATTTCGAGATAATTAAAATGAAAATAGCAAGAAAAACTAGCCGCAACTATCTTTCAACAGCTGATTCAATGCAAACAGCGATGAGAACAGTTGATAATAGATAATGAATCGGAGAGATAATCAAACGATGAATCAACATCGTTCTTCCAAACATGTTCACAAGGATTTTTAGAGGTCTCTTAGTAGCGAACTTCTCAATGTCTACTGCTCGTTTCTTGCGAGTTCGATCAGCTGATTGAAATCTAGAGATGATCGAATTGTAAGACCGATAACAAGCTTCGCACCGCATTTCGCAGTCGAGTGAAGCTCGAATACCATCTAGTTTTCTTTCTAACCGTACGCATCGAAAGTTGGTGTTTTGTGTCGCGATGATCTCGAGAACGGAAAGTCAGAAAACACTCATTCAAACGGGAGAATAAAATTTGAGGATCACATTTATACCATCCGTTTTCCTATCTTCAATAGGAGGTTTCGTTCGTTTACAGTTAATCCCACAAAAAGAGCTAATTTCTATGGACTTTGTCATTTTTCGCATTTCGAGATAATTAAAATGAAAACAGCAAGAAAAGCTAGCCGCAACTCTCTTTCAACAACTGATTCAATGAGAATAGCTGTTAATGAATCAGAGAGATAATTAATCGATCAATCAACACCCTTATTTTGAAACATGTTGACAAGGATTTTTAGAGGTCTCTTAGTAGCGAACTTCTCAATGTCTACTGCTCGTTTCTTGCGAGTTCGATCAGCTGATTGAAATCTAGAGATGATCAAATCGCGAGCCCGAAAACAAGCTTTACACCGCATTTCGCAGTCGAGTGAAGCTCGAATGCCATCTAGTTGCTTTACAAAACTGTTTTCCAGTTAAGTTTTATCTCTAGACGGAAGATCGAAAAGATTGACAGTTCCTCATCGTCGGTTAGTTAGGAAACAATGTCATTATCAATTCTTAATTTGAGACAATGGAATAATTTTTTGTTATTCAGTTTAATGCGACATCATTTGTGCAAAATAAAATTCTGCATTCGATAGCGTAATTATAAACGATTCATAGAACGTGACTGATTTTCAAAAACATGAATTTCTAAATCGTATTCAAAACTAAAATAGCGCCAGATGTTATTTCCAAACATTTTGGATCTAAACAATATCACCAAGAATCTTAGAAATATCTTAGAAGAATAGACCATGAAGTTCTCTATTTATGAATGTGAAATACATTTCATGTATTTAAAGTTTTGATATGAGTACAGTGTTACACAAATAGATAAGATATTCAAAGCAAATAATTAGAAATTCTAGTTAAGCATTTCAGTATCTGCTCGTCTTTTCCACTTTTTGCTGACATGAAAAACTTTATTTGAAAAATAAAGTAAACAGTTTTATAGCACGAAAAATTCGCTATCAAATCAGTTTAGATTAAGGTCGCAAATTGTGTTTTCTGTCTTTAAAAAATGAAAACCAAACTGTCCCGTTCTTTATGCGTCTCCGCCGCTTATTATAAGATAAAGACAATAAGTGAGTGATTGCCTACTAATTTTTCCATCACTGTTATGTCACTCACAGACACTATGTATACTAATTTAAGCATTATCGTCTTTCTATCAGTGATCACCTAACTGAACTCGTTAATTTTTTGAAGAACATAGCAAAAATTCATGAATCTATACAGAATTTCAATGTTCACAAATTTGTCATCGTGAGAATAAATAAAACTCATAGATTGATAACAAAAGTTCTTGTTTTACAACGCCACAGTAATTCATTGCAAGATAGTTATTTTGAAAACCATCATGACAGCGATAACTTTTTCAACAGTTAACGGAAGCGCTACAGATTTTTTAGTAGCGATCAATATCTGTATCATATAAACCAGATCAAAACTTTCACATTTTGTGTTCGTTTCTTTATGAAATAGACGACATATACCTATATAAGAGCATAATTCCAATAAAATAACTTAGACGATAAGCCTGATAAGTTTTTTGAATCCTATTTCTATTATCCAAAAGAGAAAGATGAATAATGCTGTTTTACACTTCTCAGATCATTTTGATTTTTCCGGTTGAACTGTAAAAGAGTGTGAACATAGGCGGAAAAGAAATTTTAACATTTCTCGTAAAAAGTTTTTCTTATGAAAATATCCAAAATACACACTGTTCATATTAAATAGCGAATTTCAAAGAAATTTTCTCCGTGAATTGAGCAGTGACATTCAAAGGTTAACAATTGAAAAGATTTTTATTCTTTAATAAACTTTTGCTTGTTGAAATGACTGAGTATTGGTGTTTTTGGTTGTTAAATCGTAATTAAACGACAATATTTATGTTCGGTTAAGTAAGCGTCAGAGATGTCGAGGATCGCTAAAAATCTATCGTTGTCAGAATAGTTTACATTCAATCTTTCGAAAATCCCTGCCATCACTGTACTGAACCAGTACTATCGGTATGAATACATAAGCTTCACTTAGTCATCGTGTGTAACATTTGCGGATACTCGAATCCTGAGCAAATTTATAAAGTTTTCTAAAATTTAAAAGAACATATTGCGGTGATGAGAATATGTTGGAAACATCTTACGTGACAGCATGAACATCTTCGAAACTGAATCATGGGTTTCACAATCTCGTGTTTCTTTCAAATGTTAATGAAAATGTCTGCAAAGATTTCTTTACTTGAAACATTTGTTTCGATCTAATCTTTACTAAAATATTCATTCCTACATTTTCTTAACCTTAAGATGAAAACATTGTTTGACGATATACACAATGAATACATTCCTTTTGAATTTAGATTTATTTTATCAAAACAGTTATTTATCTTTCTCATAAACAATTATCTCTTTAATGAATCACAAATATTTGTCTTTTTATGACAAAATTACATTTTGCCTTTACTTTTACAATGGCTGTAGAGCGAACTCAATCCTCTGTTCGTGTCTATAGAGTGAACATAGTCCATTATTGTCACATTTCTGGACGGGACTCAAATCATTTTTAAACATAACTCATCTATTTGGAGAAGGGCTCTGAGTCTACTAGAGGCAACTGAGCTCCCTCTAGCCCCCTTCTGGTCATGCTACTATTTTACAGTTATTTTATCGATTCTCGTTTTCTATAATTAGTTCGAATTTGAGGAAGAAATCAATTGTTGAGAAACTACATTTCAGTTATAGTTGAGAAATAATATTATTACTTTAATATAGATTCTACAACAACAACAACAACTACAACAACATCAATATCAACAACATCAACGACGACAACAACAACATCAACAACAACAACAACCACAACAACAGTAACACAATACATCAATCAAAGTAATAATTTAATAATATAAAATTATTTATATTTGTTTTTCTAATTATTTTTATTATTTTAGAGTGTTTTCCACCAACAGTTACACTTATACCTGGAGCATCAACATTGTTATCTCCATTACAATTTCGTCGAGATCAAGATTTTTATATTGTGTCAATAATTACATTAAATTGTTATAGTTCATTATCAACAAAAACTGAATGGACAATCAAAAATTGTACATCATCATCCTGTGCATATCAAATTCAAACTGTTTCAACAATACAAACTACATTTAGTGAATTATATATTCCAGCAAGAACTCTATCGTATGGATTATATGAATTAAACTTAACAGTAACAATGATTGATTATTCATTGTTAATAACATCATCTTCTGTTTATGTGAAAATAACACCATCAGGTATTATAGCAAATCTTGTTCAATTAGGAACACCAATGATTGCAAGCGGGCATGAACAAGATTTAAAACTGGAACCAGGAATATATTCTGTTGATCCGGATGGATATGTGTTTAATGCCACTGTAAATTCAGATTTAAATTTATATATTTTGGATAGTTCTTTCTGTTTATAGGATTGGAAATATGAATATTATTGTCGAATTTATGGTTTATATATGTTTCCAAAGTTTCAAGGTTCATTGTTACCGATTGATAATTCGACCATTGATCCATTAAATCCATCATGTTTATCAAATCGAACAGGTCTGTTATTAAACTTATTCATTTGATTTTGAAATTGATTTTAATATTTGTAAAGATAATCTAACAGCATGGAAATATACTAACTCTATAAAATCATCAGTGACAATTCTTTCTCAATCACTTCAATCCAATCGAACATATCAATTTATGGTTTATATGGAAAATCGTCGAAATAGTCTTCTTCAAGCAACTGGTTATGTACTTGTCCAAGTGGAAGATATTTTCTCGCCAGTCATTGCTCTTGGGTAAAGAATTACTTTTTAATCAAATCTAAATAATAAATACTTAATTTAGATGTGTTATATCGACAATGTGTGTTTCTAATATGGAGTTTCAACTTGTTAATCCAACAACACAAGTTGCTTTATTTGCACTTTGTATTGGAAATTGTACAAATATTCGTAATATTACATGGAATATCTATCAAGGTTCATTAAATTCATCATCAAATGTTACTCAATGGATTTTATTTAATCAAATGACTGCATATCAAAATATTTGGTTTTTTGGTAAAGATCTTTTTCTTGTTGATAATATTATGTCGTATTGAATATTTTAGGAACGAATACAACAAATTTCACAGCAACAAATCAATTATTTTTATCCAATCCTCAAGTGAATCTTTGGCGATTTGAAGTTGTTTATCGATTTGTATCAAAAACAAGTTCAAGTTCATTGAATTTTGTGATTAATCAACCACCATCCAATGGTTCATGTTTCATCAATCCTCACAATGGTACAACAAGTAGTCTATTTACTATTTCATGTCCAAATTGGTTTGATAAAGATGGAATTAAAGATTATTCAGTTTATAGTATGTACACGTTTTTTCTTAGACTTTAAATGAGAAGATGTCATTTTCTTCCACACTCGATAGCTTGGACAACAGATCCATCGGAACGCATGATGATTGCTTTTTCAGCAGTTTCAATATTTCAAGTTCGATTACCAGTTGGAGACGATTTAACTTATGTACTTCATTTGATTGTTTCTATTCGAGATACACTTGATTGTGTTGCTGAAACAAATATATCATCTATCAGTGTTTTACCGGATACGGCTGGAATTGCTAGTTTAATAAATGATCTACAAACTTCGTCAAGTGCATTAACAACTAATCCAATTGTTCAATTACTTGCAAGTGGAAATCAAAATACAGTTGGACAAATATTAAGTTCACTTTCTCAACAATTCAATACGATGAATAATGAAAACGTAGAAAATGCTGTTTCAAGTAATATTAAATTTTATCCTTCTTCATAAGACAAGTCAAATGATCTTTTTTAGGTGGTGTTGCAGCTACAAGTATTTCTATCTCATCTTTGGGAAGTATAAGATCACAAGGGGTAATGTAGTTTTTATGATCAAATAAATTCTTTTATTGTTTAATTAGAATTCGACTCTAATGAATGCTTCTGCTCTAACTGAATTTAGTAAAGAATTGAATTCGCAAGCCAATATTCGAGATTATTTGATGACATTCACAACTAATCTTGCCATTACAACATCAAATAGTATTAAACTACAAGCATCATCATTAGCACAATTAACTCAAGCTACAAATCAACTCACACGAGAAGCTTTAGTAAGAAAGAAAACGTTTTTTTCCGTGAAAACTTTCCTTTTAAATTTCATTAGATAACTGCATCGAATAAATGTTATCAATTATCTATTGCTTTAAATTCAATGGCAACGACAATTTCATATGAGGATGTTCAAACAGCGGCTAATGAACTTATTCAATGTGCATCAAATGTTCTGACAGTAGGGTAGCTTTATAAACATATTTATTATTATGAATGAATTTAGTCTGTCAATGGACCATTACAAGAACGAACAATAATTCTCGATTTAGATTCATCTCGTGCAAATACATTTCCTCAAAATTATGACACAGATATTGAATCAGAATGGTCAAATCCAAGTAAATCATTTCATTGAGAATTTATCGAATTAATTTTTATTTGTATATAGATTTATTTGTGGATGGAAATGATTTTTCATATGAAGCAATTCAAATAGGTCGAAATAAATATTATCAAAAACAAACAGCAAATCAAATCACAAGTCAAGTAACTCAAATCATTTCATTATTAACTACTGCATTAAATAATCATATAAATATTGGACAAAATTTAACAATAAATACACCTCAAGTATTTATGTCATTGGAAACATTATCAGTTGAATCACTTTCAAGTAAACAAATTCAACAAGTTGGAAATGCACAAATTCGTATGCCATCAAATTTGAATATCAATTCTAATACAATGCTTTCATTACAAGTTTGTTTTTTCTTTTGTTCTTATTAAACTGCGAATTATTTTTTTAGTCAAAAATGAAACCACTCGCATCATTTGGTAATTCAACAATTGAATCACATACAAATCTATCAACATTAATATCACTTTCAATTCTTGATCAGTATGGAAATGAAATTCCTGTTCAAACAAATCTTTCAAATCCAATTGAAATTCTTATTCCTCGTGATCCAAATCTTATTATTCCTGAAATGATTTTAAAAAATGTTACATCAATGAATACAACGCCTCATAATCAAATTTTCAATTTAAATTATGTTAATATCACAAGTACACTCACAGTGTCGATTCATTTTGAAATTCATCCTTTGAATACAACTTTTGCTTATTTATTTATTTATAAATTTGATCAATCACCTCAATTGAATAGTTCAATCAATCAAATTGATGGATGGACTCTTCTATGTCCTTCGAGTGAAATTGACTTTAAAAATAAAAATATTCTTCTATTTCTTTACATATAGATTTAACGAATGAGAGCATTTATACCTATTTTATTGATAATCAACAAACATCAGGTCATCAATCAATAATATTTGGTTTACGAGAATTGAATTCAACAGAAATTAGAGATTATTGTTCCAATTCTCAATTGACAAGTCCACCAATAACAAATCAACGATTTAATTTTACATCAAATTATGAACTTAGACTTTACACATCAGGTTGTTATTATCTTGATGAAAATAATCAATGGAAATCCGATGGATTATTGGTAAGTTTTGTTTCTATCGTAAGAAAAGGATGTTTTATATTTGATGAAGGTCGGACCATCGACAAATTATGCTGAAACTCAATGTTTTTCAACTCATTTGTCAGAATTTACAGGTGGATTTCGTATTTTACCGGCGCCAATCAATTGGAATTATGTTTTTGCAAATGCTGATTTTCAAAAGAATAAAACTATTTATTTAACTGTCATTTGTGCATCAATTATTTATTTAATTTTGTTGATTTATGCACATTTCAAAGACAAAAAAGATCTTGAAAAATTAGGAGTAACATCACTACCAGATAATCATAAATCTGATCAATATTTTTATCAAATTATTGTTTTTACTGGTCAACGAAAAGATGCTGAAACAAAATCCAAAGTAAAGTAGTAAATAGAATATGTAAATATAGAAACCTTTTGATTAGGTTCACTTTGTATTATCTGGTGATGAGGATACAACACATATTCGAACATTTGCTGATCCTCATCGAAAGATTTTCCAACGTGGTGGAATTGATTCATTTATTATGGCTGTTCCAAAGTAAAATTTGATTAGGAATATTTTAATGTTAGAAGAAACTCTTTTTAGATCATTGGGATTGTTGAATTATATTCATATTTGGCATGATAATACAGGAGGTGGTTCATCATCATCATGGTTTTTCAAATATTTAATAGTTCGTGATTTACAAACAATGGAAAAATATCATTTTATTTGTCAACGATGGTTAGCAGTAGAAAAAGATGATGGGAAAGTAAGAAAACTGATTTTCATCAGTCTCTTTACGATGTATTCTTTGATTAAAATAGATTGAACGTCTTTTACCAGTAGCTAGTAAAACAGAAAAAAATCAATTTTCTTATGTTTTATCAAAAAAAGCCTATCATAGTGTATCAGACAGTCATCTTTGGTTTTCAATATTTTCTCGTCCATCATCAAATAAATTTACATGTGTCCAACGATGTACTTGTTGTTTTGTTTTATTATTTCTTTCAATGTTTTTGAATATAATGTATTATGATCTCTCAAATGAATCACAATCGACAAATAACACGAATAGTTTATCTATTGGTCCTCTTCACATCGCTCCTCAACAGGTATAGTTTGATATGCTTATCTTTTCTATTTGAATGTATGTTGAAGATTTTAATTGGTGTGATTGTTGAATTGTTATCAATAATTCCAAGTCTTTTACTCGTTCAATTCTTTCGACGTATTCGATGTCGTCAACAACAAATTTCACCATTACATCGAGCTTTATATAAAATGGAATCACATTTAGAAATGTTTGTCAAATTGAAAAAACTAATTCCTGTTCGAATTGTTTTTATTTTGTAGTGAAAATGAAAGAAAAAAGAAATCAGAAAGATTTTTATTTCCATGGTGGTGTTTATTTATTGCATATGGTCTTTGTATAATATTGGTAGGTATGTCGATTCTATTTATCATTGCTCGTGGAATTGAATTTGGTGATTTGAAAACAAAACAATGGTTAACATCAGTTCTAACTGGATTTTTCTCATCAATTCTTCTAACTCAACCAATGAAAGTATGATTGATTTGTTCTCTAATTCTATGATCTAACATATTCTGATTATAGATTTTATGTTTGGCAATATTTTTTGCTTTTTTTTGTCGAAATACAACTGATGACGAAGAAGCTAAACAATATTTGGATGAAAATGAAGTTAATTTCGATAATCATGCTGACGATTATCTTCATCAGATTGAGGTATGAATAAACTATTTTAGAAGATAGTTAATATCTCTTTTTATAGAAACAACATTCGATATTTACTTATCGTCCTCCCGTTCGAGCAAATCGTTTAACTGAAGATGAAGTAGCTTCTGCACGTCAAGAACGTTTAAAAGAAATTCATATGTGGTCAATTATTCGTGAAATTTCAACTTATTTTTGTTTTTTCATTTTACTTTGTACAATAACTTATTCAAATCAAAATTCTAATGGATATTTTCAAGTTAATCATTTACAAAAGTATTTTTATAATTCAAGGCAAATCAACTATGATTATTTAAAGGTTAGAGATTTTTTATTAAAATATTGTTCTATTCCTGTAAACAATAGATCTCGACAATAAATGACTATTGGTTATGGCTAGAAGAAAGTTTTGTTTCAAATATTCGTGCACAAGAATGGTATAATGGTGATAGTCCTCGGAATTTAAGTGGTTTTACTAATGATAAAACGAATCGATTAATTGGTTGGCCAATAATGAGACAATTACGTGTTAAATCAAACTTGTGTTCTTATCAAAAACTTCGATTAAGATGTCTAAATGATTATAGTTTATCAAATGAAGAAAAAGATTCATTTGGATTAGCATGGACAAATGAAACAACAGAAGAATCTAGTTCATCAATAATTGAATCATTTCAATATAAATCAAGTGAAGAATTGTCAACATATGTTTATGTTGGTGATCATGGAATTTATGATGGTGGTGGTTACGTTTATGAATTTCGAGGTCGTTTAGCTGATCTTCAAAGTAATTTATCTAAACTTCATCAATTAGAATGGATTAATAATCAAACACGAGCTGTGATTATTCAATTTACTTTATATAATCCAAATGTTGAATTATTTACCGCAGTGACATTTCTTATGGAATTTTTATCAACAGGTGGACTTTATCCATCAGCTCGGTTTGAACCAATGAGTTTTGAAGGTAATTCGATTCTTTTCTCTTGATAAAGATGATCGTTTGTTTCTATAATTTAGCATTCACATCACGACTTCAATTGATCTGTATGATATTCTATATGATCTTCATTATTTATCTTATGTGGATAGAAATGCGATCATTACTTTCGTTGAAATGGTCTTACTTTCAACAGTTTTGGTCTTATATTGAAGTTGGTATAATTGTATGTTCATGGTCAAGTGTTGGAATTTACGTTTGGCGATACCGAGAATACCAACGAATTAGTTCATTATTTGAACAAACCCATGGATATGTTTATATTAATTTACAACTTGCAAGTTATGTCAATGAAATTTTAACATTTTTCTATGGTTTTTGTTGTTTTTTTGGGACAATTAAATTTCTTCGTCTTTGTCGATTTAATCAACGTCTTATGTTATTTAGTTCTACACTTAAATATGCTGGGAAAGAATTGATTTCATTTTCTATGATGTTTTCAATAATATTTTTTTCATTTCTTTGTTTATTTTATTTATTATTTATTTCAAAGATTTGGAGTTGTTCAAGTTTATACGAAACAGCACAAATGTTGTTTAAAATGACATTATTAAACTTTGATACAACAGAATTAATTGGAGCTGGAGCATTTTTGGGTCCATTTTCTTTTAGTTTATTTATTTTTTTGATTGTTTTTGTTTGTTTATCAATGTTTTTATCGATTATTAATCAGAGTTTTCGACGTGCACGTGATGATATGAAGATTAAAACTAATGAAGAAATATTTTCATTTATGTTAAATAGATTTCAACGTTGGATAGGTAAGAAAATTGAATTTAATTTCATAAGAAGAATTGATTGATATTTTAGGTTGGAAAAAGTCAAGTGAAAAAGAAATTACTTTGACGCGTTCCGAACAAACTACTCTAATTGAAGAATTTCCTGAAAAAATGGATCGATTTCTTGGAGCAATCAATCGAGTCAGTGAATTCTGTTCTATTAAGATTACGTTAATGTTTGCTTATTTTAGATTTATATGAGTCAAAAAGCTGAATTAACAAGAGTACAGGAAACTAACATTTAAATATTAAATAAACAAAAGGACCAAACGTTTACTTATTGCTTTGTACGTGTCTCTTTGTTGCTATCGGTGTTGTTTAGTTTATTCAAGAAAAAAAGAAAGAAAGATGCATTATATGCAGATAGAATTTCTTTTTAATATTCTAAAGGATATAATCTAAAAGCTTGATAGCATCTTCTAAATTGTGTTTTACAAACTAATGCTTGTTACTAATATTGCTCAGATTAAAGTGTACGAGCCGGAAAATCTGATGATTTTCCCATCAAATCCTTGCTCTGTTCGATGGAAAACGACCAGAAGTTGTCGGATAAATTCGAAGACTTATGAATTGTAATAGTGACGGATGGGCCATAAAGAATGGCACCTTTTGTATTTTTATTATACTTAGGGCAGTCCAAAAATAGTGGAGTTGGTATTATATGAACCCCATGGAAAGCTCAAATAAATAATTTCCTATATGTACTTGTAGAGGAAACAGTACTCTGTATTTCTTCAATCAATCATCATTCACCAGTGGCTATTGTTATATGAGAAAAATTCAATGGAACCTATACACTCATTTTATAGATGAATAGGGAGCTTATTCGTGCCTATATTAAAGTGTGTACTGCACTTAAGAGGCAACCGAGATTCATCCATGACGACTTATGCTCAGTTTTGGGCGACAAAGCTGCATCTTACAATACACTTTTACGATGGTCAAAACTATTTGGTGAAGGTCGGGAAGAAGCTGAAGATGAACCGCGACCTGCCAGACCTGTAAACGAGACCACATCTGACAATGTTGAAGAAGTTCGTCGCCTTATCGAGAATGATCCTTATCTTACTATCGACAAAATACAAGTTGAAACTGGCCTCAGTCACGGTACCATCGTGCGAATTGTTTCTGACCACCTCAAGCTGAAAAAAATTACCGCTCGCAGGATACCCAACCAGTTGACCGATGCTCAGCGAGCCCATCGTGTTCGAATATGTCGAGAAAGTTGAGCAAAATTTCACCAAAGAACCTGGCGGTTATGTGATGTAGTATAACAGGCGCCGAGTCATGGTTTCATCTAGCGGTGTAACCAGAAAATGCCGGATGGTGGAGCGCCGCCCCAACAATTTTATAAGGCTTATGTAAGGTAACGTAAGGTTCCTATTCATAGAGTAACGATACGAGAATTTAGTATCTTTATAAAATAGATTTTACATATGATGTTTCATTCATTTAAATAAAATTCTTCTTTAGAAATCACAAGATGTATTTAATAAAACTCTATTATTCTTATGCGAAACAGTAAAATTAAATAACCGCTCTCCCTGTAATAGAAGCCTTCCTAATTAGAAGTCCCTCTCATCTTAAAAACTTTTTAAGAGTTTTCTGAAAACTTTTATTAGAGTTTTCCTAGTAAAACTTAGTGAATTGCAAGATTTTAAGGTAAAAATATATCAAATTCTTATTTATCAGTATTAAATCCTTAATAATCATTCTATCTAAGATAATGTTAGCTTAACCACCATGCTTTTATGCTGATTGATGAAATGTAAAAATTAAAAACTAACCGATGTACATTAGAATTATTCTAAATTACATTGATCTATATATGACGGAATTGCAAACCATTTGTACCGTTTAGAAAAAAAATATGGTTAAGCTTGTACCTTGCAGAATTCTCAACCAAATTGATCCATTTTTTTCGGGAAATATTCTTCACAGATGAGGCTAGTTTGGCTGCTAAAATCAGCTCTCTAGCCATTGTTTGTCGCTAGGGAGCGTGAAAGTGATGTCACTTTTACACATAATTTTCAATTGGTCATGCTCAGTGGTGGTAAATAAAACTGATCTTTGTGCTGTTAAGAAAACATATTTAAAACTCGTTTCTTTTCCATTAATATCGTACCAAGATAGACTAAAAAATGTGCTATTCGATTTAACGATATTGCTTTTATTTTGCCAGTAGTGGCTCGAAGTATTCGTGGTCGCAGATTTGGTAAAAAAATGTCTCGTCACGCTACAAACTGTTTTTTTCGGAATGAAAACATGGGTGAAGTCTCGCTCAATTATAGCCAAATTGTAGAGCGAAGAAAACAAAACAAATATGCTATTTAAAGAAATCTATCGTATTTGCTATTGAATCGAAAATAAAAAAAAATTGAGTTTCAAAACACACCTTCCTCTCTAAATGTCCCGTCACGTTTTTTTTTTGTTTTTTGTATATCTCAGGTTCTACTACATCTAAATGAAAATAATTTTTAGTACAAGTAGACCCCAGAATATAGAACTGATATTCCAATTTTCGACTCTTAATTCTTTGTCGTCTGGGAGAAAATTTAAAAATACTGATCAAATGTCCCGTCACGGTTTTCTTGGCAGTAAACTCGATATTTTCCCGCCAAAACAGAAAGAAGCCTAGTTGAATCTTATATGATGTGAAACCTCGTTAAAAGGTTCATCTTACTATACGTGTTAAACCCTTTGCCAGGGACAAAGGCTAGTTTATTTATGTTATCTCAATTTTCATAGTTTTCAAGCAAATTGACTTTTTTTAGAGCGTAAATTTTTAATTTGTCGATATTTTGGCGATTTTTGATAGTGGTAGTGAGCCGACAGCCGGTTTCCTTTATTTCTTTAGTAGTACTATCTACCGCAATACGCGAAATCATTCCATTGAAAAATGAAATTTTACAAAAAATTTGAAGCCGAACGGTACAAATGGTTTGCAATTCCGTCATATGAATTTAATAGATTTCATTTGGAAGAATATAGGTTTCAAAGTCATTCTAAACTTGAATTTGTACAAACTTAAGTTTAAAACAAACTAACATGAAAAGTAGTGGTATATCAGTGTGTATATGTATATTTAAATCTTGTTAGACAGTATACTCTTTCATGTCGCCTTCAAATTACTGTTGTCGTCGTCCATATTTGTGTGTTAATAGGTGACTCTTCACGCTTGGAGCAATATTGCAGTACGATAAATTAAAAAGAATTGCCAAAATGAATTTCTTCAGTATTTATTAGATGGTCTACCAGACGACCATCCGGCGGCCGCGCCGCTTTCGCTAAAAAGCTTTCCGACGATGATCGCATCCGCCTCGCTTTTTCGGTGCGGTGCACATCTCTGTTGTGCAATATTAATTTCTAGTCAATATATATATTAGTGTTCTATGAGATTTTATTTTTGTGGAAATATATTCTACAAAGATAGATCTTGTATTCGCTATGTGTCTTCTAGGAGTATGATATTTCCAATTTACGTAATATATTGAAATGTCCATTTACTAATTTTTTTTACTTTTCTATGTATTTTACATAGATTGTTCTTATTAGGAACATTTTTTGCGTTATTGTTCTTGTTAGAAAAAGAGTACCTCATAAGAGCCAATTCATTTATTCGCAAAATACCGGTAATTACCTAATTAGTTTACGAGATAATTAAATGATTTTTACATCATTCAATGCAGCAGACACTTCCGCATTCGAATATATAAAAAAAAAATTAAACATAGAAAATGACTTTTAGCAAAGGAATTATTCCAAGCTCGAAAAAATTTGTTCTTATCAGGAACATTGACTGTACAAGACAGAATTCTTTTTCTTATAGGCACATAAAAATAGATTTTCTTTCTCATCAATGACATCCGATAACAGTAGAACGATAAAGATGAATCAGTGTTATCCCATGAATGAGAGACAGTATATATTCCTTCATTGCTATTGGTACAAAAATAGCTAACAGATTGTGTCATATATATTCCTGTATCGTTTATCTCATAGAGTAAAAGAAAAAATATCGCATTGTATAAAACATGTTCTATCTCTTGTCGTTCTGTATATTTTTTTGTGACATGACGTCATGATGAATAACGTTAAATGACTGTGTTAGATAACGTATTTTCCCATCGACTATATAAAAACAACGAAGATAAACTAATGTTTTTCGTTGATTTTTTCTTTTGTTATATTATACCCTGTACTTCATTTGATTTTTTAAAATTTCTCGAACTAATGATATTTCTTTATTTTAGTTTAATTTAAAGAGAAAAAAACATGATTACAGTTCCATTAAATCCAAATTCAGTTAATATACCAATGATTAATAGTAAGTTATTATTTTTGTTTTCTAATTGATTTTATGCTTACTGTTGATCTTGTATAGTTGGATGTTGTAAATCAAAATTTGATTCAACATATCCAATTCATTTAAATGGAATAATTACTAAAGAAGATTTTCATGAATCAATTTCAAGAATTAATCATACAATTTTATCAAACAAAATTTTTATCTTTCTTTTAATTATTTTTGGTTTAAGCATGATGACTGAAATAATGATACTTCATTATTTATCATATGAATTTTTTACAATTGGAATTATTTTAAGTATTTCTGGATCTATTCTTTTCGGTATTGTATTTTATATAATAAAACTTCAACGTATTAGACGAATGCGACATGCTATTGCTAAAGAATCAATGATATATTCATCAAAATCACCGATACCGTGTAGTTGGAGATTAGATACAATGACACATTCGGTTGGAAGATACGGAATTTATCGTAACAATCATATAGGCTATCATGTAAGTGTTATTATTTTATACGCATCTTAATTTTCCTTTGAAGAATATTCGTTATGAATTTAAAATAATCCAATAATGAATTTCTACTATTTATTTCAGTTAGTTATCGATATTGGTCGCTCGACTACTCCAGGAAGTGTAGTATATTATTCCAATCAAGCTGCTCCTGATTTAACATCGGTTACTGGACGACATAATAATACTTTACCTCCACCATATTCTGATCAACTTGCTATAGAAATTTGTTCTCATTGTGGTGCATCAAGACAAGATCTAACAGGCAAATTTTGTTCATCATGTGGATACCCATTCAATACATGTTAAACATTATGACTTTCATTTTGATTTTTACATTAAATAATGAATTCTATTTGATAGAGCATTTTTTTTGTATATGAATAAAGAACAGCCCAAGAAACTATCACCCAAACCGTGTGATACACAATCTTTTATTTCAAAGCTGACTATCCAGTTGGAAAGAGCGTAAAAAGTTGTCCTCAGTGTCAAATTTTCAGACTTCCGAAATGAACCTTCAATTTGCTATTGGTAATCAAAATTCGAGACCTAAAATCGAGTTTTTCGATTGAAAAACAACCTTTTTTTTTTTGAATATTTCAGAACTGATTCCTATGGGAAAATAACCCTGTAATATGCCAAAAGATAGAGTGAAATCATCTCTTCTATAAAGAATGATCGGTGATAACAAATTTAGTTGTAACTTCAAAAACATTGATTTATTTAGTAGATTTTCAAGTAATTTTGAACACCTCCAGAACTACTTTCGTCTTACATCTTGACATCGCAAGCTGACTTTTGGATATGTTGTAGAACGTCAATAGACGTATTATCAAAACATATACTTTTTAGAATGAAGATCTATTTTAAACATATTTGAAAAAAGCTTGTCAGCGCAGCTCTTTGGTGCTAAAATGTAGAACTTACATATTCATATTAGCATCAAGAAGCAAAGATATTTTTCGAAACTTGAAGCTTCCAGTTGATTATAATAAAATTATTCTTCAGTAACTTAACCGCTAAATTTTTTTATCAAATCAAAGACTTTTTAGATAATTACAAAAAAAAAAAAACGAAAAATGAAGCGTGAATCAAGTTTATTCTATCTGTAAATTTGAGTGACGACCTAATTATGGATAATTTAACATCAGAAAACAGAATTTGGAATGTGAGACAACAATATACGGATATAAACGTCACTGTATTTTTTCATAATGAAACAACAACAAAATGACTTTCTGTATTCTCCTATATTAATTTGTGTTGTATCTGAGACGTCCAATAATAATCAATTGTTTCTATTCCAAAAAAGTTCTAGTCAAACTTGAGTAAGAATACAAAAAGAAAACGAGGATGACAAATTAATATTTATTGAATGATTGACCACAAGAAGCACAGAAATTTGTCGTGAAATTTTGTCTTTGCGCACCACATTTAGTACAAAATTCAGTTGACGAACTCGAATAGGGTGGTGGGTAATTATTGACTGGTTGAGGTGCCATTGTATGTGAAGAAAAAGCACCATTTTGACCGATTTCAATCAATAACTAAAATCACAAAGATATTAAATAGATAAACAATGCTGCTTTCTTTCTCTTAATCTGTTTACAACAATCTGATTATGATGATAATCTTTACCTGATATCTCACAGCTCGACGTGCTCTACCATGCAGAGGCGGCGGAACGTTTTAAAATCAGGTAAGGCTCAGTATAAGGTTATTAGTTGTTCCTCAAAACTTTTATATATTACCTTGACTTAGACTAAAACAAGGTCAGTTAATAAGTCGTTTTAGATTACTTAATTATTTTGGTACTGTGAAAAACATTGTTCTGGTTCGCTCTATTCTTTATCGCAAGAGTTTGTGAATCTTTACCAAATATGAATATTTCATAACAAAAAATAATTTATTTCAAATTAAACTATTGAACCAAACAAGGCTTGTCTATTGGTATTCGACGCGATAAATTTTGACATTATTTGATATGGATCAATTTCATCAAGCTTTTCTTTATAAATATTTGCTAATAAACAATGATTAAGTCGCGACTGTGTCATAGAATTTCGAAGTACAGTTTTTAATCTATTTAATGTACTAAATGCACGCTCAGCACTCCCTGTCGAAACAGGAAGAGTTAAATGCAGTTTAATCAATTTATCAAATTCTCTGAACATTTGTTTACCAACATTGCATGAGTTTAAAATTTCACAAATAGTCGAAATCTTTGTGATTTGTTTTATTTTCATTTGATTTGTGTTAATTGTAGATTTAAAAAAATCGTAAATCATGTGTACTTCAGCTTTCAATCTTTGAATATCTATATCACCGTCGCAAAATTCCATTATCTCTTGTATGAGATCATCTGGATCATAGACTGGATTATTAGATACATTAAGAATAAATTTCTCAACATCACATAACAATTTAAAATTGCTTTGAGTAAAACGAACACGCAACATATTAACAACAATGTCTAGTGCTTCAATATATTGTCGATGATAAAACTCTTCACAAGTAGTAAAATCGGGAACTCTTGAACTTGAATCATAACGTTTTGGTGGTCGTCGTTGTCGAGGTAGAACAGGTTTCTCTGTCAAACCTTCACTATCATTGATTACTCCATTATAAAACAAATTAAAATGATTATCATCTGAAAAAAGAAACCAAGTAAACCGGACGCATACATATATATTCGTAATTTTTTTTACCTCCAATACGTATGAAATAATTAATAACAGTTTCAGCTGCACAAAGAACATCTTGCAAACAACAACTTGAACCTTGAATAATACGTGACACTTTTTCTGTATCGATAAGTATTAGATAGGCTAATTTCAATCCAAAAAAAAATTAAAACGATTCATTTGTTCATATAAACCATTTGCTTTTATTCCACAACTATCTTTCTCATCACTTATGGTATATAAAGTTTCTTGAACTAAAACACAACATGAATATATATATATATATATATATATATATATATGTAATATGAACCATGTCTTACCCAATCCATAATTTTCCAACAAAGAACTACATGATCCTGCACGCATAGTCCATCGTGTAGGACATAGCGGTGTTAGAGTTGTATATGGCATTGTTATTTGGTTGGATGTTTCTTTTATTATAGAAAGACGTTTAGGAGATCGGCGGATGAAATCAATTATATCCTTAGCAAAAGATAAACAACTACAAATCGTAGTACATCGACTAGTTAAATCCTGAATAGCTAAATCAAGGCAATGCGCATTACAATGCACATACATAGCTTTTCCTTGTTGTTTTAAAATTAATGCTGATACACCACCATAAATTCCTGACATGTTACTAGCTCCATCGTAACTCTGACCACGACAATTAGCAATATCCAATCCGCACCTAGTTAATGTATCAAGAATTGCTTCAACAATTGTTGGAGCATTTTGCCTGGATATTTCATAAAGGCCGATAACATCTTCAAAGACATTGTAGTTATTATCAACAGATCTGATGGTGATACATAATTGTGAACGTGTTGATTGATCTGTTGTTTCATCACATATCAATGAAAACCATTCTCTGTTAGAGATCTAAACATAAACCATGACAATAGTTTCAACTTAGTATAACTCAAAATTAATCTCATCTAAGAATCTAGGAATATAAATCTATGAACGTTCTAATTAGCTCAAATTTCACGTTTCTCTCTAATCAACAACTAAATATAAATATTTAATTGTATTATATATAAGCTACATTGTACTGAACTATATTAATAAAATTTACATCATATTGTATCATTAACATAATAAACTAATAAAGAGCTCTCTGTGAATTCACATAAAGAATCATAAGAGAAAACAATCTATTGTCGCATTTTTCAGGAAAAACATCTAAGCTTTTTTCGAAAAACGGTTCGATAAATGTTACAGAATAGCTTTTGATGGCTCTGTGAACGAAACTAAGTTGTACATACTTCTTTCACAATATCTCTTATAATTGTAAGATAAATTTCTTTACAAAGTTCATTAATAATATCATGTGATAAATAGTTCTTTTCATCAATCCATTGCTTTAAAAAGTGATTATCAATAGTTCGAAGTTTGAGTAATTGAATCAAATTACTATTTTCATCTGAATGCCCTCTAAGAGCAAGACCTTGACGAAGCAAGAACATGATGCATGAAATTTGAATGATAAGTGCCTGTCGTCTTTGCTCTTGTTGTTGTTGTGTTGCTAATGTTAATTGTTCTCTTACACTACGTTTTCCTTGTTGATTTACAACATAAATTGAATCACGATGTAAATTACTTTTTTCATGGACCTTAAATTTTGACAAAGCGTTTTTCCAGTCGCAACATCCTGATAAAAAAACTTTTGTAAGTTGGATTTAATGTAGAGGTATTTGGATGTATTGCACGTTCAAATGCTACCCGGCATGGATAACAAAATACTTTATTTTGAATCTAAAAACAAAAAATGCTTGTTAACTAAATTCGTGTTCACATTAAATTTGTTTGGCCAAAACTTACTTTACAGAATGTTAACCAAGGATAATCTGAAAACCATTTTTTTTGACATGATCGTTTGTCGACCACTGTCAAAGCTAATTCATCCTCTCTGACAGGATGATACGGGTTTGAAGAATTACAACATGACAAATCACATTTTGAAATAAGTTCTTTTTGATCCGATGAACATGATGTCACTAAATTCGCCGGTTGTAACAAAGGTATCGGATTATCCGTATTTGATGATATATTAGAAGTATCAAAAACTTCATCCTGACTTTCATGTTCAAGATCATTTTCTGAGACATTATTGAGATTAGTTAAATTTGATGTTTCGATAAGAGGATAAATTTTAGTTGCAGAAGATATTTCAGTATTTTCACCCCGTGAACTTGTTGGAAGAATAGTGAAATCTACCAAAGGAATTTCTTCTGTTGAAAGAACTGGTGCTTGAGCTTTTGATTTTTTTGAAAAAAAATCAAGAATCGATCCAGAGGATCGTTTTGATGCCATACGCTGATTATTATCTAAATATTGATATTATAAGAGAGAAGAGAAATGTTTCGATTTAGCTGGTTTTATTCTCTTTTGAGCGGATGATTCTATGACTGGTCTAGTTTACACACCATTTAGTGTAAATGATATAAAAGATGTCACTAAGGACTATGACGATATAACAAATGGCTTTCATTTTCGTCGCATTACCTGTTTTTTTTATAACAATGCCGAGATAATCACGCAAAAAAGTTCTACGATTTGTACTAAAATACAGTTCGTTTGATCGATAGAGTGAAATTCTACAGCGAACAAACTTGAGACCCTGAATTCAGGTAAGGCTGAGCCTAATAGTGTTCAATTCAGGTAAGGCTCAAGCCTGACGAGCCTACGGGCTCCGCCGCCCCTGCTACCATGGCTATATCCTCCAGTATATATAGTATCGGTATGTAATCGCCAACTAGATGGTCTTGAAGATCTCGCTGAATATTTTGCTGATTCATCGACAATAGCTTGTCGCACTCGCTTCATTCGTTGCGATTGCATGACGCAGCATCCAACGAACGTACAAATCATTCCAAAAATTAATAATCCCATGCCTATTCCAAGAAATACTCCCAACCTAAGTACAACATTGCTAGTTTTAGTCGCAGATAATGGACCGGCAATCATTAATGCTATTCCGCCTAACAGCGATACAACGAAAATGATGATCAAGATAGCAAGACATTTATTTGAGCCAATGGCACCATTGATATTGCTTATCGATTGTCGAAATTCTTCTTGACTAATAATACCATTCAAATGAATCGGATAATTTGAATCGAATTCGGATTTCATACATCCACCTACAACATTAAATTCAATATGTCTTTTTAATTAATTTGTTTAGCAGAAACTTACTCGGTATCATACTTACAACAACCACATTCGGATTCAAGGGAGCGACAATCATTGATTTACTTTAAATTGATCTTTACTATACGAGGAAACGTTTAAACAGTAACAAAGATTGACAATCTTGTGTCAAGAAAAATTTAGGGTATGATTCTGAATGAGCCTTATTCAACATTCGCTTGTTGGCCACGAACATGTAAAAA